TAGATTTTTCGTAACCCAATCCCTTCCCCCTTGTCTCCCCTCTTAAATCTCGGGACGAGATTTCTTGTAGTGGAGGAGAATTGTGATGCCCGGATAATTAGGCTACAGTAATCCCTCATTAACAATGTCGCGTCACCTCTGTCACTGTAGTTAATCTCGGGTTAGTTCAAAAACCGGTTCAAAATTCAAATTCAAACTCAAGTCAAACTAGTAAAGTTTTCAAATGTCAAAACTAAAAAGTACAAACGGTGACAACTAATACAAGGGTAATTATCGTGCAACAAACACATTTTCATAAAATGGCTAAATGGTTTAAAATGATTTAAACAGAAAAGAAAGAAAATACAAAAAGGGAAAACAAAAAACAAAAAAAGAAAGAGAAAGCCCCCCCTCCCTGGGCCGTGGCCCAACTGGGCCAACCCACCTAGCCCATTCGGCCACACCCACCGGCCCAACCCCTCCCCTCAATAACCCCACCAGGGGGGAAACCCTAACCCAATCCCCGCACCCACTCACCCCCGTCCTCTCTCCCGATCTGGATCGGGATCCAGAGGAGACCAAAGCCGCCCGGTGCGCTCCCGCCACACGCCGGCGCCCGGAGCTCGACGACCCCGCCGCCAGGAGCCCTTCCCACCGGCCTGCTTCCTCCTCTCCGCCGGCCTGCCTCCTCCTCGTCGATGCCGTCCCCGTCCCCCTCCACCACGGTCCTCCCCGACCTCCATCGAGCATGCTGCCCGTTCCCTACGCACCCCGGTGAGGACCCCGGTCCTCCTACTCCCCGTCCCCTCTCGCCGGTGCTTGCCTTGCTCCGGTGCCGCGCTCGTCGCGCCCCGGCCCGTGCTCACCGTGGCCTCGCCCCGCCCGGCGTGCCCCTGTTCGCCATCCCCGTACACGCTCGCCTCGTGGCCGCGCTTCCCCGCGGGCCTTGGCCTCGCCTTCCCCCTCGGTGGCGCTGCTCATCGGCGGCCCTCCCGGGCGACACCGCACCGTGTCGGGCCGCGACCCCCTGCGCCTTGCCTCTTCCCTTCACTGTCGCCGGCGCCGTTCCGTGCCCGAACGCGCGTCGGGGCCGTGCCCTGGCCGTGCTCGCGCATGCGCCCGCGCCCCGTGGCGCCCCTACTCCCCCCCGCTCTGCTCCGCCTTCGGTCGCGGCCAAGCCAACGCCCGCGGCCCGCCGTCGCCTCGGGCCTTTGCTCGCCGGCGTGCCCGTTCGGGCGACGCCGCGCCCCGTCGGACGCCCACGGTCACGGCCTTGCCCCGGCCCTCCTCGCCCCGGCGATTTGGGCGAACGCCCAGTCGGGCGCCGCAACGCCCGACCCGCCCGTAGCGCCCGTAACCCACTACGGCCCCTGTGCCACTAACACTAGGGGCCCCACCCCACAGAACGTTTCCAATAAAAAAAAGAGAATAAAAAAACTTAAATAATTAATTAATAAACTAAATTAATTAAGTTAATTAATCCTATTAATTAATCTAACTAATCTGTTAGTTAATTAAACAGTAGTTTGTTTAGCCTAATCTCTAATTAACATAGACAGTGTATGACAGGCGGGTCCCACTGGACCCACTCGTCAGGTTGACCAAGTCAACTCTGTTGACTGCTGATGTCAGCATGACATCATGCTGATGTCATTAATTCATTTTTGAATTAATTAATTAATTAATTAAATTCCAGAAATAAATAAAATCTTTAGAAAATCATATCTTTTAATCTGTAACTCGGATGAAAATACTTTCTACATGAAAGTTGCTCAGAACGACAAGACGAATCTAGATACGCAGCCCGTTCGTCCGCCACGCACCCCTAACATATCAAACTCGCAACTTTCCCCCTCCGGCTCCTTTGCCCGAAAACGCGAAACACCGGGGATACTTTCTCGGATGTTTCCCCCCTTCACCGATATCACCTCATACCGCTTTAGGGCACCTCTAGCACCGATATGTGTCTTGTCATGCATCGTTATGCATCTATTTGCTCAAATATTTATTATTTCTTCCCCCTTTTCTCTCGCTAGACACCGAGACCGACGCCGCTGCTACCCAGTACGACTACGGAGTTGTCGACCCCTCTCTCTTGCCAGAGCAACCAGGCGAGCCCCCCCCTTTGATCACCAGATATCGCCTACTCTTCTCTATACTGCTTGCATTAGAGTAGTGTAGCATGTTACTGCTTTCCGTTATTCCTATCCTGATGCATAGCCTGTCCTTGCTACTACTGTAGTTACCATTACCTGCTATCCTACTGCTTAGTATAGGATGCTAGTGTTCCATCAGTGGCCCTACACTCTTGTCCGTCTGCCATGCTATACTACTGGGCCGTGATCACTTCGGGAGGTGATCACGGGCATATACTATATACTTTACACAGTTACATTACCTGTGGTACTGTTCGGAGATGGGGCTGAAGGGGCAGGTGGCTCCATCCCGGTAGAGGTGGGCCTGGGTTCCCGACGGCTCCCGACTGTTACTTTGTGGCGGAGCGACAGGGCAGGTTGAGACCACCTAGGAGAGAGGTGGGCCTGGTCCTGGTCGGTGTTCGCGGATACTTAACACGTTTAACGAGATCTTGGTATTTGATCTAAGTCTGGCTATTGGCCTATACGCACTAACCATCTACGCGGGGACAATTATGGGCACTCGACGTCGTGGTATCAGCCGAAGCCTTCGTGACGTCAGCGACTGAGTGGCACGCGCCGGACTGGACCGTAAGCCTGCTCTTGTATTAAGGGGGCTAGTTCTGCTTCCGGCCGCGTACGCAACATGCAGGTGTGCAATGGGCGATGGGCCCAGACCCCTGCGCCGTAGGATTTAGGCCGGCGTGCTGACCTCTATGTTGTGCCTAGGTAAGGCTGCGACATGTTGATCTTCCGAGGCCGGGCATGACCCAGGAAAGTGTGTCCGGCCAAATGGGATCGAGCGTGTTGGGTTATGTGATGCACCCCTGCAGGGAAGTTAATCTATTCGAATAGCCGTGATCTTCGGTAATAGGACGACTTGGAGTTGTACCTTGACCTTATGATAACTAGAACCGGATACTTAATAAAACACACCCTTCCAAGTGCCAGATACAACCGGTGATCGCTCTCTCATAGGGCGACAAGGGGAGGATCATCGGTTAGGATTATGCTATACGATGCTACTTGATGTTACTTGGTGAACTTACCATCTACTCTCTCCTACATGCTGCAAGATGGAGGTGGCCAGAAGCGTAGTCTTCGACAGGATTAGTTATCCCCCTCTTATTCTGGCATTCTGCAGTTCAGTCCACATATGATACCCTTATTCCATTTGATACCCATGCATATGTAGTGTAGCTCCTTGCTTGGGAGTACTTTGGATGAGTACTCACGGTTGCTTTCTCCCCCTTTTTCCCCCTTTCCTTTCTTTCTGGTTGTCGCAACCAGATGCTGGAGTCCAGGAGCCAGACGCCACTGTTGATGACGACTACTACTACTCGGGAGGTGCCTACTACTACGTGCAGCCCGCTGTCGACGACCAAGAGTAGTTTAGGAGGATCCCAGGCAGGAGGCCTGCGCCTCTTTCGATCTGTATCCCAGTTTGTGTTAGCCTTCTTAAGGCAAACTTGTTTAACTTATGTCTGTACTCAGATATTGTTGCTTCCGCTGACTCGTCTATGATCGAGCTCTTGTATTCGAGCCTTCGAGGCCCCTGGCTTGTAATATGATGCTTGTATGACTTATTTTATTTGTAGAGTTGTGTTGTGATATCTTCCCGTGAGTCCCTGATCTTGATCGTACACGTTTGCGTGTATGATTAGTGTACGACTGAATCGGGGGCGTCACATCGACACCGCCGTGGACAAATGTGGCGGAGGGATTGTTAATGGAGTACGAGAAGGAGGTGGCGGAGAAGGTGTGGATAGGCAGGAGGTCTGGGGCAGTGTCACCTGGTTGTGGTGGAGGTGTTTATGCGAGAAGGAGCCGGAGTGGAAGGATAGGTCACAATTGGAAATAATCGCAAAAAAAATCATAACCCGGAGATCTCAGTTCAAAAAAATGCTAATATCGATGGAGGGGTGATTTCCTTCAATAGGTGGAAAACATAAGAAATATTAGTTGTTACCAAGGAAAGGTAAAAATTTAGGAAAGTTAGGATTTTTGAACTGATTTCTATGCAAATGGGGTTTTATTGTTTGATAACGTAATATCAGTACCTGCCCATTTCTGACGTGTCTGATTAGGAAAGTTTGAAATGTTAAGAAACTATTTATTAGGAGGAAAGTTGTGACGTGTCTGTTATTTGTTTTCTAAAATAAATTTCACTAATAAGAGAAATCGATTGATTTAGATAAGTTAGAAAAGTTAGATTAAAATGTATTATTTGTTTTCTGAAAATCTGCTATTTGTTTTTTAAGACAAATTGAACCAATAAAAGGAATTGATTGATTTGCATAATTTAAGAAAGTTAGATTAAAATGTATCATTTGTTTCATGAAAATTTGTTATTTATTTCCTAAGACAAATTGAACGAATAAAAGGAATCTATTGATTTGCATAATTTAAGAAAGTTAGATTAAAATGTATTATTTATTTTCTGAAAATATGTTATTTGTTTGGTAAGACAAATTAAATCAATAAAAGGAATCGATTGATTTGCATAATTTAAAAAAGTCAGATCCATGATTTGTTATATGTTAGGAAAGTTCTGATTGTAATAAGGAATAGAGAGAAAAATAAACCGATGGACCAGGGTGTGAGGGGATGGTGGGAGGAGAGACGAAAAAACCAACAAAAATAAAACGCGGACCAGGATAGGAAGGGATGGTGACAGGAAAGACGAAAAAAATCAGCGAAAATAAACCACGGAGACGATTCACCGCGAGCCAGGTGCAATACAAGAGACCAAACACGCCCTATGCGTTTGTTCTGTGTTGCCTCTTCGGAAGAAAAAAAACACGCCGTTAGAGTATCTCGTTCGTCGTTCTCTTCGCTCCCTTATCTCCCTGCTCCCCTCACGCCGTCTCCACGCTGGCCGCGCCCATGGCGATCGAAGCCGCGCGCCTCTCCCCTTCCCTCGCCGCCGCCGCCGCCTTCCTCGGCCGCCGCTCTCCTCCCACAGCCCCTTTACTCCGCCGCCTATGCCTCCTCCTCCCCCGCCGCTCCCTCCTCGCCAGCGCCAGCACCTCCTCCTCCCGCGCCTCCTCGGGCGGGAACGGCCGCGTCGTCGCCCTCTCCTCGTCGGAGCTCCGCAAGCGCCGTGGCTCGACATCCTCCACACCCACGCCCGGAGAGGACGATAAGCTGCGCTCGCTTCGTCGCCTCTTCGCGCGCCCGGACATTGCAATCGACGCCTACATCGTTCCCTCCCAGGATGCCCACCAGGTTCACCACCTCCATCAATGCTGTAAATAAGTGATATCATTTTCCTGATTCGGTTCGTCGATAGTGGAGAAATGATGCACCCGTGTGGCCGCGTTGATAAGACAATTAGTGTAGCTGTTGTAAGTCCGCGCCATTCAGGCACGGATGATCCTGAGTGAATAGTTTATTTCTATATGTGTGGTGATAACCATGTGCCAATCGTGGAGCTTACCGGGTCTCTATGTTCGCGCGACTCTCGGTGATTAATAGTAGTGAGTATTGACCTATCAGTTGAAAGTTTGAAAAATATACTGATCGAGCGTTTGATATCTCAGGCTCGTTGGGTTGTGTCCTGTGGACTGCTTTTGATATGACGGCCTTCTGGAAATAGGCATCAGCTAGAGCAATCGCTTTTATGCACGGGGCACACGCACATGCATATATACTTGATACACCCAGCGTATTAGTGAAATCAGCCATGTACTTGGCGTGTGGAACTGGCAAGTGGCATTGAGCTACAGCTGCAGAACATCATGATCAGTGTAAATACACATAAGAGCACAATACCATATCATGCAGTGTCTCCACAGTTTGTTGAACTGGTGAAGCTAATAGTGCTGTATAGTGTTCAGAAAATCATCAGTTTATTCTTCTATCAATGATGCTGCATGCTCCCTGACTCCTCCTTGTTTCGTTACTTTTTATTTCAGAGTGAGTTCATTGCGGAATGCTTCATGAGACGTGCCTACCTGACTGGCTTTACTGGTAGTGCTGGTACAGCCGTGGTCACAAAAAATAATGCTGCTTTTTGGACCGATGGCCGGTATTTTCTTCAGGTACTTCATTCCGATGATGCAATTCTTAATTCTTCAGCACATATGGTTTGGATGCGGCTAACACTTCATGTTTTGTTCTTCTGTTGACCAGGCTGAAAAGGAATTGAGCCATGACTGGACACTACTGCGGAGTGGAAATCACGGTGTTCCAACCACTATTGAGTGGTTGAATGATGTCTTACCATCTGGTTCTCGAGTTGGTATTGACCCGGTGAGCTTTTGTTTTGTTCTGTGCCCTCTCTCCATGGCCTGCTGACCATAACTGCCCTTACTAAAATCTGTGAAATGATAATTTTACCTGCATAAGAATCTACGTAATCAACAAATTCACTCTACAAAATGAATACCTTTTATGAGTATGCTTTCTGTCATGCCAATTGATGATATCATTTGGCAGTAATCTATTTTTATTTTAGAGGATTGTTTTCATGCTGTCTTTGGAGTCATAATTCTTACTTGTTATATAAAACGAGTGACACAGATTTTTACATGGAAAACCCTCACGGGAAAAAACTACGGACGCACGAAGACGTAATCTCACTATTATGAAGGAGTTTACAAGTACGAGACGACATGCCGTCTTTAGGTGCTACTAAATGGGGTATATATAGATGGCATTATACAAGGGTCTTGGAGGATAAGAAAACGAGCTATAATTGTACGCGTCGACATCAACGCAAAGCCCTACACCACTCCTACTACGTTTATCATGAGACGATGCCATGCCCAACACGGTAGTAGAAATCAGATCGCAATTTAACATCACCTGACCATTTCATTAAGTGATTCAAGGAAAGTGAAGCCATGATTTGGTTAGCTGGAATTGCAATATCATATCGTGAATTTAATCTTATTTCTTCATACTGCCCCTTATGCAACTTTAATTTTGAGATTTGTGATACTAGTAAGATCCCATAAGCTAACTTTTTGAGTCAAAAATCATTAAGTGATTCAAGGATATCATAAGTGAAGCCATGATTTGGTTAGCTGGAATTGCAATATCATATCGTGAATTTAATCTTATTTTCTTCATACTGCCCCGTTATGCAACTTTAATTTTGAGATTTGTGATACTAGTAAGATCCCATAAGCTAACTTTTTGAGTAAAAAATACAGCAGTAGTTACGTGTCTACCAACTCTTTTACTTTTACTCTTAAATCTTACTACATTCTTACCTGTATGTTCTCTTGTATTCTTTCTGTTACACGTACAAGACGCTATGCTGAAATTTTGATTAAGGCTTAAGTGTATTTCATGGCATATACATTCTATAATTACTCCCCATTGATTATTTTATATGTCGACGACTCTGCACTTTGTTTATGTTATTGTATTCTTGGCCTAATCCTCTATTCTTTGTTTGCTTGAAGGATGCAGTTCCTTTTCTCATCTGATGCTGCTGAGGAATTGAAGGCTGCTATTTCTGACAAGAATCATGAGTTAATTTTGATTAGAGATTTTAACCTGGTTGATGAGATATGGGGCGGATCAAGGCCAGCGCCCCCAAAAGAACCTACCAGGGTGCATGCCATCAAGTATGCTGGTGTTGACGTTGCATCGAAGTTATCTTTTGTCAGATCACAGCTTGATGAAAATGGGTGTGACACTGTGGTTATTTCAATGCTTGATGAGGTTGCATGGTTGTTAAACATGGTAAGATTTAGCTTTCACCATTACTTTGACATGGTATGCTGGTTATGAGCATCTTGCAGTTTAAGATGGATTACTTCTGAACCTGAAACTCCGCATGTTTATTTTCTCTCATATGTACTCCCTCCGTTCCTAAATATTTGTCTTTCTAGATATTTTGATAGGAGCTGGGATCCTACCAGCTCTAGCTCGTAGGTTGTAGGGGTGGAAGGGGGCTTGGCGTGGAGGAAGGCGAGGTCGCCGGCGCTGGGGCGTCGTTGCGCGTGAGAGAGGGCGCAGGAGGCGGCGGCTAGGGTTAGGTCTCCCGGCTCCCTTCAGGAAGCCGAGCAAATATGATTGCTTCTGCTTAATTTCAAACGAGTCCTTACATGAGTTTATATAATCTCCAAATACGATAATTGGGCTAAGCCCCTAATAACTACTCCCTCCGACCGCGAATAAGTGTACATCTAGCTTTTGTCTTAAGTCAAAGTTTTAAAACTTTGACCACCTTTTTAGAAAAATAAATAAAAGCATCTATGGCACCAAATTGGTATCACTAGATTCATTTTGAAATGTACTTTGATAATATATCAATTTGCTTTCATATATATTACTACTATTTTATATAAAGTTGGTCAAAAATTTAAAACTTTGACTTAGAACAAAAGCTAGATGTACACTTATTCGCGGACGGAGGGAGTATAAGATAACTGGGCTAGGCCCCTAACTGCCTGGGCTGTAGTATATGCCGGTCATAACATCTCTCCCCGCCTGCATAAACAGCTTGTCCTCGAGCTGGAAGGCGGGGAAGCGCTTGCGGAACTCCTCGAGGTGATCAACGGGCGCCAAACACCTCCGCGTCAGCTGGGGCGGGCAGGTCGCCGAGCCCGGCGGCGGCGGCGTCCTCCTCAATGTAGTCCGCAGCCTCCAGGTAGAAGAGTCGCGGGCAGACGTGGCCGGGCACGTAGGGCTCGTCGTAGTTGAAGCACAACCCTTGGCGGCGACGCTCGAGTTGCTCGGCCGGGGTGAGCCGGCGAAACGGGCGCGCCGCAGAAGCCTAAGCAGGCCGACCCTGCGCGGGAACTTCCGGCCAGGGTGGCGGCCCAGTGGCCCAGGGCGGTGACGCCTGCCAGATGGCCACCACGCGGCGCTCGAAAGTTCGGGCGTAGTACATGGCCGTCTGGAGGTCTTGTGGCCCGCGCATCTCAACGTCCATGCGGATGTGGTCCGGTAGGCCGCCGACGAAGAGCTCAGCCCGCTGACGAGCCGAAACGCCGGGGGCGTGGCACGCCAGTGCTGGAAGCGGTCGACGAAGTCTTGCACTATGTTGAGGAATGGAAGGCGCCCAAGCTCTGTCAGACGGCTCCCGCGTATAGGCGGACCGAAGCGCAAGAGGGACAGATCGCGGAAACGCTCCCATGGTGGCATGCCGCCCTCGTCCTGCTCGAGGGTGTAATACCACGTCTGGGCGGCGCCGCGTAGATGATAGGAGGCGATCCAGGTGCGGTCGGACGCGAGCGTGCGCTGCCCCCTGAAAAATTGGTCGCATTGGTTGAGCCAATTCAGGGGGTCGACGGTGCCGTCGTAGGTCGCGAACTCCAGCTTGGAGAATCTCGGCGGTGGCTGGGCGTGGACGACGGGCGGGTATGTGTCATCCGCGCGGAACAGCGAGGGCGACGGCGTCGAGTGTGCGGGCTGCAGAGTACCGCCATGGAAAAGGGGCCCGTCCACACCATCGTAGGGACCCGCAGCACCCGAGGACCCGCCGAAATGCATGGTCGGGGGGCGGCGCCGGCGGTGACATCACGTGCGGTTGTCTTGAGGCCATCGTATAGACCGGCTCGATGGACCCGGCGAGCCCGGCCGGTAGCGGAGATGGCGACGGGGGGAAATGGACCTGGTGGATGGGCACCCCGGGCGCCGTCGGCGGAAGGCCCGGCCTTGAGATCGCCGGTGGCGGCAGCGGCGGCTGCTGCTGCAGCGGCAGCGGCATGATGGATGCGACGGAGGTCGCCGGTGGTGGCGGCTGCCACGGGAGCTGCTGCGGCCCCGTGATGGTGGTGACGGGGGCGGGCGGCTGCAGCCCATAGTGCCCCGCGAGGAAGGTGTGGATGCCCTGGACCGCCTGAGTTAGGTCCCGAAGCGCTGCTGTCATCTCCTCTGGGGTGAGCACGGCGGGGGCCGGCGCGGGTGGCATCCAGGCGGCAGAGGAGACCGGCCCGGTCAGGGACGGCGTGCTGGCCGCGGTGGTCATTGTCGACGAGGATGCGATTGGCAGCGGGAGGGAGGGGGTGGGCGGTGGCGCGGACATGATCGAGCCTGAGACACCTGATACCAGATTGATAGGAGCTGGGATCCTACCAGGTCTAGCTCGTAGGTTGTAGGAGTGGAAGGGGGCTTGGCGTGGAGGAAGGCGAGGCCGCCGGCGCTGGGGCACCGTCGCGCGTGCGAGAGAGAGAGAGAGAGGGCGCAGGAGGCGGCGGCTAGGGTTAGGTCTCCCGGCTCCCTTCAGGAATCCGAGCAAATATGATTGCTTCTGCTTAATTTCAAATGAGTCCTTACATGAGTTTATATAATCTCCAAATACGATAACTGGGCTAAGCCCCTAATAATGATAAGATAACTGGGCCAGGCCCCTAACTGCCTGGGCTGTAGTATATGCCGGTCATAACATATTTCAACAAGTGACTACATACGGAGCAAAATGAGTGAATCTACACTCTAAAATATGTCTATATACATCCGTATATGGTAGTCCATTTGAAATATCTAGAAAGACAAATATTTAGGAACGGAGGGAGTAATAATTTCACTTCCAATCCCTTGCATGATAGACGCATGTTATAGACAGCTACTCCAAATGCTGGATTCAGAAGCATCACATGATTTTATACTGTTACTAGTCATGCATTTTTTTGTTTTCCAATGTTATTACCGTATACGTGCTTTGATAATTGGTAACTAATGCTTAGTACAGGTCAATAGACTGTTCTACTTACCATTTTGTGCTCCCTGTTTGGCATTATAATTATATACTTTTATTGTTTTGATAATCATGGTTGCATGATAATCTACAATATTCTGCATTTTTCAAAGACTTACTATGCAATGAGTAATTCCTGATGTTTTAGCAGTACAACATCTGATGACAACTGAAAAGTACAAGGACGTTTGCGCTTTTTAACCCTGTTAAATATTGTTGCGTTTTGTTTAATACACTTTCCACAAAATTGACGGTTGACACCACTATTGAATGCAGAGAGGAAGTGATGTTCCACATTCACCTGTATTCTATAGCTACTTGACTGTGGAGATGAGCACTGCTACATTATTTGTAGATAGCAACAAAGTATCTGAAGAGGTATTGGAACACCTCAAGAAAGCTGGAGTGAAGTTAAAATCATATGAAGCAATTTTATCTGATGTAGAAAGGTAAATTTTACCAAAGAATATTTTACATAGCTTGGTGTCTGGCTTTGAATGTGCAGTTCCTTACTGTATCTTCGTATCAATGCAGTCTATGCAATTTACCTAGATTTGTTTGTCATCTCAAAATTTGGAAACAATGTGATCTGATTATTCTAATCAGTTTGTAATTCATCTGCATGGAAGTTAATCAAGGTTTTAATACAGCCTTAAGGCGAATGAAGTGTGGAACATTCAATATTTACTGCAAGGGCCTGTACTCATGTTGGACTGAGGTTTTCTATTTTCCTGCCAAATACGGAAAATATGAAATACCATGTTTGGATTATGTGAATTGCATACTTATGAGCTTCATAATTCCCACCCTGTGCCCTACCAGCTGCATAAACAACAATTATCTTTTGAGAAGTAAGATTTATATGCACTTAATCTGGCACAGGACCACCAGTCTCTGTTTTCATCAATTAATGCCTACATTGGCTTTTGACAGCCTGTTTGGAATGGTTGATGAGTAGTTCACCAGCTTTTGCCTTCTTCCTGATTTTGATCATGATGGCACCTTCTTGCTTTATGATTTGAGTTAGATGAGATTCACATGTATTTGATTTGGCACTTGATCAAGTCAATTGTTCGTTTTGGCCAAACATATGCATATTTTTGAAGCTTCAATCATAACAGTTTGTAAGTTATAGCCTGCTAAAAAGCGGGGGTTCCGTTATGTCCATCACATTCAAATCACCTATGTAATCACATCCCTGCCTCAAAGGTGAGTCAAACTCATGAATACATTAATTTAGCAAGATGCAAAAGTAGTTTATCTATGAATCTCTAATCATGTAAAGAAATCTGCAAGGAGAAAAACAACAATTATATTGTGGTGTTGTACATGTCTTGTATGTACCTACTGGATTTGGGTTGTTTATTGGTTGAACTACTGAACATGTGTTTGAGAATCCGTATGTTGGAAAAGCAATTAGCCACTATTTGGTTATGATAGTGCAAGAAGTAAAAACTTCTTCTGTAATTTCATCTCACTTAGTTCTAGTCTGCTGAAGGGAAAACTAAAAATTACAACTAGCGAAAGATTGAGATTTATCTAGAGCAGAAGGCAAGTACCAACCAGTATAAAAACAAGCACAAAGCATGAACTAGAAGGTAAAGAGTAGGGAAATGAAGACAGCGTATGTAGTTCCGGAAGTTCAAGTTATTGGCAATATCTTCTTCTGGAGAGGCTGAGCTTGATGCTCTGAAACCACTGAGGTTATACCTTGTTCTCCTTGAGCTAAGTCCACAAGGAACTCAGCCGATCACTCATGGTTGATCTTGAGGTGATCCCTGGACCTGTACAAACTTTGCTTTAGGCTAAATCTCCAAGAGTAACTAGTAAGATATCTAGGCTCGAAGATGCTCAATCAAATCTCAAGTATTCTCTCTCAATGGTTTTCCTCTCTTAAGATGGGGCTCAAGAGCATAGAGGAATGGGAACACGAAGTATGAGAGTGTAATAACTGCACTGGGGGTCCACCTGAGCTCGCAGGGGTTCGGTTCCTTTCAGGCACGAACAGAAAACTAGCTGTTTTGCTTCAAGATTCACAACACAGCGGCACTAGGATCCTAACCGGACACTGCTGGATTTCCGGACAACGGATAGTTTTGTGGCACTAGGCGCAAAGCGGAAAGATGTGTCAACAGAGTCGCAACACGGTAACGTCACCTTCCTAGCCAGACTCACCGACCGACGAACCAGAAGCACTACGCCTGTAATAACCTACCTTCCAGAGCCTCATCTTGATCACACTGATGGCCAAACCGGAAACACAGGTGTGAGGAACTCGACAGCGAAAGACAAAGGGCCGCAGCAAAGGCACAACATAGGCTCATCCCGGCAACGATGAGATCCTAACTGACACCGCCGATCTTCGAACAGAGCGAACACTTAGGGCAACCCCAGACTGTTGGGTTCCTAAATCCTGATAGAAGCTAAGCGGTGTGACTTAAATTTCACAACCGGAGACACCGGACTTGATGAACAACGCCCCGAGTACACAGCGAAAACTGAAGACTCAAACGCACTCAATAGAGGTCATCCTCGGTGATGCCGATCTCAAAACCGGTGTAAACGAACATAGCTAATGCATCTCAAAGAGATTTCAAAGGATATGATGTGTATCTGGTTGGGTTCTAACTGAGCATCAGCAAGCTCCATCCATTAACCACAATATCCAACCCCTCTTAGGGCTCATTTGGTAGCCAGGGGATCCCTGGAGGATCCCGGCCCATTCCCTGGGTGGAAAGCCCGCGCACAAAATCAGCCCCGGGCCAGGTGCCTGGACATTTGGACGCTGGAATACACGAGGTTTTCTCGGCCCGTTCCCCGTGATTTCCCCGGGATAGGATCCACGACCCACGACATCGGGATGGAATCCCCTGTCTCGTTCGCTCTCGTCGCCCGCCTTGGGCAGAGCGGCGGCCGCCTCCCTCCCCTGCCACACCGTTGGTTCTGAGGTTGTGCTGCCTCTCCTCTCGTCCTCGGTCTCTGGCTGCTTCTCGTACTCGTGCCTCTCCCTCTGTCGTGCTCACCAGCCGCAACATTAGATCTCCTCCCACCGGAGTTCTGTGTCCTGTCTACTAGGTCGCGCCACCAGGAGGCTGTCGGCGGCGGCGACTGCTGCTGGTGGTGGACGTCAAGATAATGATGAAGGCGGGGCATTTGCTTCAGTTCATCATATTTTGATTCTGCTTCAGTTCTATGTCTTTTCTCTGTAGCAGGGGATTTGCCCCTTTGAGCCAAATGACAGTGCCAATTTTCCACGGGGCTTCTAGTTGGCCAAAGAAATTTTCAACCGGGGCATCTATTCCCTGGAAATATCCCTCGTAGCATCCAAACGAAGCCTTAATAGTACGGTTTGCCCTAAACTCAGAGTGACTCACTGAGGCACTAAAAGCTATAAAGTCTTCAAGAGGCAAACCATATCTTCAGTGTCCAAAATTTTTAGGGGTAAGACATCCATAGGATAAACCAACATCCTTCGGGACTATGCACCTGTGTACACTCACTAACACATTAGTCTGTTAAATCGTTTGTCATTAATCATCAAAATTCACTAGGGGGCACTAGATGCACTATCAAGTGTATAATTGTAAATGGTTAACTACTAATTGTTTTATTTCACTGCAGTTACCTCTTTCCTGTTCCGTTGTGTTGTCTGAACTGGGGAGTGGTTTTTCTTCTGTAGGCTGGCAGAAAAGGGTGCAAAACTGTGGTTGGATTCTTCAAGTGTGAATGCTGCCATAGTCAGTGTATTTAGATCTGGTTGTGACAGATACATGAGAAAAAGAGGAAAGACAGGGCGGCAAATTGGCAAAGAGGCATCTTCAGATGATCCGACCACCAAAAAGCGTGGTGTTCAGAATATGGAGTTAAACGGTCTCTATAAAGCCTCACCAGTCACCCTTGCCAAATCAGTTAAAAATGAGGCAGAAATTAGAGGAATGAAGAACTCACATCTAAGGTATTGTTTCAGCATACTTACGAATTCAAGGTTTTCCTGTGTTGAAAACTATTCTAAGAAAATATAAAATGTCAATTTCGTAGAACTGATGGTACTGAAACATATGCTGATGCATTCTACTGTAGCAAATCAAAAGAAAAGGTTTCATGGATATGGTGGCTTCTTAATAAACGTGTCTTTTGATGTTTCTGACCTATCACAATAATCGCTTTGATAGCTTTTATGTTTGTACTGATGTAGAGGCAGTAAGGTGACCAATACTCACTTCATTTGTTTTTTCTCCTAATGTGAACATAAAAAAAAGAGATACTTCGCTTACAATATTCAGCACACACCATCTTTTTTCTGTATCAGCATTTCTGTTAATCCTGGGCCATCTGACCCAAGCATTGCCTGCACTGGTGCGTAATACACTTGCAGAGATGCTGCTGCTTTAGCAGAATTCTGGTGCTGGATAGAGGAGGAAGTTCATAACAATGTGGCTCTTACAGAAGTGCAAGTTGCAGAAAATCTTCTTGGATTTCGCCGAAAGCAAGATGGTTTTATAGAGACAAGCTTCGACACTATTAGTGGTATATTCCCACATTTTTCCGTCAATAGCAAATTGTCATCGGATTACTCGACTAATTTGTTGAGTTTTATGTGCTGTTATGGTGTTTCCTCTGAATTCTGCGACGTGTCTGGATTCATTGTGTCGAAAGAAGGCTTTGGATGATTATTGTTCATTTGTGCTTATGCCTCGGTTGGTGACAGCATGCTGGGTAGGGTGATGCAATATCTTTTTACTTATGTGACCTCTTGGCACTGGGATGAGTCCTTTTCCATCAAATTTAATCTATTTCAGAAAAAAGTTCACCTCCTTTTGTTGTATTATTAAGGGCTACTACTTTGATGATATGCTTCAGTATGAATACTGTTTTTATGTACTTTGTCGCTTTAGTGTGATATGCATGTTTGCTATGGTAAGCTTGATTGTCACGCAAAATAGAGATGAAAGGACAAATCTGGTTCTTGATGACACCCTTGACTCTTCCATGTCTTGACACCCTTGACTCTTCCATGTCTTCCAGCCTGGAAGTGTGTGATGTCCCCACTATTGAGAGACCAGAATTCTTGATTTTTTTACCCATTAATCCTTTTTTTACATGCAGGTTATGGTGCAAATGGTGCTATAATACATTACAACCCAACTCCGGATAGCTGCAGTTCTGTTGGAAGTGACAATCTCTTTTTGTTAGATAGTGGTGCTCAATATGTTGATGGAACGACTGACATTACAAGGACAGTTCATTTTGGTGAGCCTTCCCCGAGGCACAAGGAATGCTTCACAAGGGTTTTGCAGGTGTGTAATTTCTCTTAAGACTACACGTCTCAGCAACAGTGAGCTATTTTATGTATTGTTTTCTGTACTTCAGTAGTAGAGTGTTTTTTTGAGGAATGAATAGTAGAGTATGTTCAAATACTTCACTTCTTTGTTCTCAATACCTTACGCAAGTAATGGAGTTTGTTGGTACAGGGCCATATAGCTCTAGATCAGGCAGTATTTCCAGAAAGAACTCCAGGTTTTGTGCTAGATGTTCTGGCACGATCATCTCTCTGGAAGATTGGGCTTGATTACAGACATGGTACCTTCTCTGAGCACACAAATCTCTGGCCCTGAATCATCTATATACCAACTATTGGTTTGACTGGTCTTCTAAATGGAATGCATGTAAGTTCTGGAGCATGTTTGTCCCTGGTTCAGGCACAGGTCATGGAGTTGGAGCTGCACTCAACGTCCATGAGGGCCCACAGAGCATAAGCTATCGATATGGAAACTTGACAGCTTTACAGAAGGGCATGATTGTAAGCAATGAACCTGGTTATTATGAAGACGACTCATTTGGCATTCGTATCGAGGTTAGTTTTCCTATTTGGTGCTCATGTCAATCTTCAATATTTTATGTGCTGATTTTTCAGCTGAAAGTTAGTACTGCAAGTATTTATACTTTTGAACCTTGCAGAATCTGCTTCTGGTGAAAGAGGTTAATTTAGCCAATTCTTTTGGCGGCATCTCATACCTGGGCTTTGAGAAGCTAACTTTTGTTCCGATTCAGGTACCCATGCATTTTATTTATTGCATTTTTTCTGTCTATGAAATTTAGAGATAGTGATATGAATACAAATAATACTTCTAATTTGAACAGTCAGTAATCAAGCTGACAGAACATCTTTTAAAGATATCACCTTAAAAGGTTTCCCAGTATTATTCCAGTGACTGGTAACCTCAACCAATAGGTCCCCTCAGCGATTTTCACCGGGTATTAGTATTAGCTAGTTTAAGTACATATGTATGTATTAATTGAGTAATTAGTAGCTGGCTCAATGGAGGTTCACGCATATATATATGTACTTCAAGTCTGTGACTCGACTCGAATCATTCCATTGTTGCGCCATGGGTCATTCCATAAACTGTTGACCACTGCGGCTGCTACCTACCAGTTAGATTCCTAGGGATTGTTTGACTTGCGCCAGAGCTGGCCCTGCCAATCCGGGGAATGCCAAATAATTGGCGGATGTTCTGGCCGCCTGCGTCTCACCAAAAAGATGCTGCAGAGGTGAACTAGCGAAGGCGGAGAGCTGGGCACACCAAAAATTTGGTGTCCGTCCAAACAGCTCTCCAAGGCGCATTCAACGCCAATATTTTGGCTGGGCGCTCCAGGCAATTGACCCAAACAGCCCCCTAGATATAATCAAGGACTAAGTATCAAGTTATATTCATAAACTGTGGACAGTTAGACAGACTTAGTTATTACTCCCTCCGTTCCTAAATATAAGTCTTTTTAGATTCCAATACGAACTACATACGGATGTATATAGACATATTTTGGAATGTAGATTCACTCATTTTTCTTCGTATGTAGTCCGCATTGGAATCTCTAAAAGACTTATATTTAGGAACGGAGGGAGTAGTTAGTATCTACTTGTCAGTTGTTGCGTGTTGAAAGAAAAGGGAGGTAACGTTCTCCTGAATTACATGATCGTCTGCATGAGAATGAAATAGATGCAAAGATCTCCGATGAGTTTTTTTTTGACGAAATGTAGTGTCACTGCTTTTCATTGCGATTAGGAAGAATAAAGTTTACAATTTAAAAGAAGGGGATGAGATTGAGATTAGAGAGTCTGTAAAATACAACATGTCAGCCTAGTCGGGTTCTAAAGGTCGTTCGACTAGTGTCATTACCCTTCGCTTGCCCGCATCCGCGCATTCCCTCGCTTCGAGCTGAAGCTTTTGGAAACGGACATGTACTGTGCAAGCAGTGTTTTGGAATACCCGCTCATTTCTTTGTTTCCATATGTTCCACCAATAGCAATGCAATGATCGAGCGCCAAATCTGTGTCCATATGAGTAGAGAAGCACTGCCACCAGTGTAGCAAGGATTCATCACCAGAATGCATGAGGGAGTTATTGAGATCAAGCCTGCTGAAGATTAGTCGCCACAGCTCCGATGAGATTCTTGACTTGTTCAATGGGCTTGGTAGTCACAGAGCAATGCTTGAGCTAACAGAAATGTAGTTTTTTATTGTATAAGCAAAACATATTGAGGAGGGCCCTTGGGAGGAAGGAGGGGATGCGGACAATGTGTGGATGAAGATGGCGACTTGCATTCGTAAGGTGGCCTCTGAGGAGTTTGGAGTGTCCGGGGAAGGAGAAGCGAGGATAAGGATACCTGATGGTGGAATGATGATGTCCAAAAGGCGATTAAAGAGAAGAAAGATTGTTTCATATGCCTATACCTGGATAGGAGTGCAGACAACATAGAGAAGTACAAGATGGCGAAGAAGGCCGCAAATCGAGTTGTCAGTGAAGCAAGGTGTCAGGCGTATGAGGACCTCTACCAACGGTTAGGCATGAAGGAAGGCGAAAGGGACATCTATAAGATGGCCAAGATCCGAGAGAGGAAGACAAGGGATATTGGCCAAGTCAAATGCGTCAAGGATGAAGCAGCCAACTCCTGTGAAGGACGAGGAGATTAAGCATAGATGGCGGGAGTACTTCGACAAGCTGTTCAATGGGGAGAATGAGAGTACTACCATTGAACTAGACGACTCCTTTGATGAGACCAGCGTGCCTTTTGTGCGGCGAATCCAGGAGTCTGAGAGGAGGCTTTAAAAAGGATGAAAGGAGGCAAGGCGATGGGCCCTGATTGTATCCCCATTGAGGTGTGGAGAGGCCTCGGGGACATAGCAATAGTATGGCTAACCAAGCTTTTCAACCTTATTTTTTGGGCAAACAAGATGCCAGAAGAATGGAGACGGAGTATATTAGTACCAATCTTCAAGAACAAGGGGGATGTTCAGTGTTGTACTAATTACCGTGGAATTAAGCTGATGAGCCATACAATGAAGCTATGGGAGAGAGTCATTGAGCACCGATTAAGAAGAATGACAAGCATGGCCAAAATCAGTTTGGTTTCATGCTTGGGAGGTCGACCATGGAAGCCATTTTCTTGGTACGACAACTTATGAAGAGATACAGGGAGCAAAAGAAGGACTTGCATATGGTGTTCATTGACTTGGAGAAGGCCTATGATAAGATACCGCGGAATGTCATGTGGTGGGCCTTGGAGAAACACAAAGTCCCAGCAATGTACATTACCCTCATCAAGGACATGTACGATAATATTATGACAAGTGTTCGAACAAGTGATGTCGACATTGATGACTTCCCGATTAAGATATGACTGCATTAGGGGTCAGCTTTGAGCTCTTATCTTTTTGCCTTGGTGATGGATGAGGTCACAAGGGATATACAGGAGATATCCCATGGTGCATGCTCTTTGCGGATGATGTGCTGCTAGTTGACGATAGTCGGACGGGGGTAAATAGGAAGTTAAGAGTTATGGAGACAAACCTTGGAATCGAAAGGGTTTAGTCTTAGTAGAACTAAAACCGAGTATATGATATGCGGTTTCAGTACTACTAGGTGTGAGGAGGAGGTTGTTAGCCTTGATGGGCAGGAGGTGCCTCAGAAGGACACCTTTTGATATTTGAAGTCAATGCTGCAGGAGGATGGGGGTATTGATGAAGATGTGAACCGTCAAATCAAAGCCGGATGGATGAAGTGACACCAAGCTTCTGGCATTCTCTGTGACAAGAGAGTGCCACAAAAGCTAAAAGGCAAGTTCTACAGGACGGCGGTTCGACCCGCAATGTTGTATGGTGCTGAGTGTTGGCCGACTAAAAGGTGACATGTTCAATAGGTAGGTGTGGCAGAGATGCGTATGTTGAGATTGATGTGTGGCCACACGAGGAAGGATCGAGTCCGGAATGATGATATACGAGATAGAGTTGGGTAGCATCAATTGAAGAGAAGCTTGTCCAACATCGTCTAAAATGGTTTGGGCATATTCAACGTAGACCTTCAGAAGCTCCAGTGCATAGCGGATGGCTAAAGCGTGTGGAGAATGTCAAGAAAGGTTGGGGTAGACTGAATTTGACATGGGAGGAGTCCGTTAAGAGAGACCTGAAGGATTGGAGTATCACCAAAGAACTAGCTATGGGCAGGGGTGCGTGGAAGCTTGCTATCCATGTGCCAGAGCCATGAGTTGGTCGTGAGATTTTATGGGTTTCACCTCTAGCCTACCCCAACTTGTAGGCTTTGTTGTTGTTGTTGTAAGCAAACCATATGTGATTTCATGAAAGCGCAAATGAGATATTGCTATAATTTGATATCAACCCTACATTGTGTTATAGCTCTTATATATATTGCTATATTTGATATGAATGCTATATTTATGTCTTCATATATCTTTGTTTTATCACTCTTCTTTGATCATTATCTCATTGGCACCCCATGTTCTATTCTTGGCTCAGCCCCTGCCTGAATGTATGGTCTTGGATATGCATCCTGACAATCCAAATTTTCATTACATCTATTGATCATTTTTTAGTTATACCTGCTGGTTTTATTGGTTATTATTGTCCAGCTGAAGCACATTATTCATGAAATTCTGATTATTTTCTTATTCATTTTGTAACTTCAGAGAAAGCTTATTGACTTACCCTTGCTATCACCTTCGGAGATAAATTGGGTCAATGAATACCATGAACAAGTTTGGGAAAAGGTGAGCTCTAGATACTTGAGACCAGTTTGTTACTAAACCTATTTGACGAAGAGCAGAGTTATTGTGCATAAGAAGGAATACTTGCACTTGCATCATGAAATCTCCTAAAGGACGATAGTTTCATGTTTAACTAACATAATTTCTTACAGTAACCAACCTCATCATCTTGGAATAATTGCCCCACTAAAGTACGAGTTACGACTATTTGCAGGTTTCCCCATTCTTGAGTGGCAATCCTCTCAACTGGCTGTTGGTTAACACAAGGCCTCTCTAGACACCAAGCATGTTGCAACATGACAAAAAGCAACCAAAAAGAGCAAGTCACTAGGTATTCATTCACTTATTGGCAAAAAGCAAGGGAAAACGATGGCAAGGTCTAAGGAATTGGTTCAAGCTGGTTTATTTATCGGTACCCGGTTAGCTTAGTGCAATGTTCAAAGCGGTGAAGCGATTTGCATACATCTTCATTTGCCATTGGTTATATGATTAGTAACCATGATAGTTCAGTTGCTTTGTTTGGTCTTCCCCCTATAATCAATGCTAGGATTTTGGTAATATATGACAAGTTACATATACTCAAAAGTACATTTTTTACTCAATAGTATATTCGTACTTGTGCGATGTCATTATTTAGTAAATACTTCTTCCGTTCACAAATATAAGATATTCTAACTTTTTCCCTGAATCTGATGTATATACACATGTATATACACAAGTGTGTTCACTCATTTCAGTCCGAATTAAGATATCCAAAACATTTTATACTTGTAAACGAAGGAAGTATGCAAATTGCACAGTTCCGACATTATGGTTTATCTGGGGTGTCATTGGCGTGGGCCTTTTACCTGTCTCAAAAAAAGAAAAAGAAAAAGGTATGCTCTTGCTTCCTGACGTACTTCTATGCTGTCGAGATAACTGGTTGGCTGGTGAATTACTAAAACTCCAGAAGCTCCGGTTAGGGAATCTCCAAAAAAAAGGAAAGAAAAACTACGCCCATCAAAATGGACACGTAAAAGATCGTGTTTATGTTTTTTTCTAACACAATACAGACGCAGACATTCATATATATGCGCATACACTCATCGAGGGTATACGCGCACATCCTACCCCATGAGCACCTCTGAGAGACTGAGCCGGCATATCATCTTGAGATTTTACAAAGTCATTATAGGCGCCTCGTAGTCGACGGGAACGTCTTCCCTCATTGAACGCGCATCGTCGAAATTATGAAATAAATCCAGAATAAATGCGAGCACTAGGACTTGAACCCTGATGGGCTGAAGATACCACCGTCCACCTAACGATCCAACCACAGGTTGGTCTGTGGGTTCAACCTTATACAAATTTTGATCTCTATTTTTTCTTCTATTATATCAGGAGCACTTAATAAAATAATTGAAGATAAATATCATCTTTGGTCCATAACCATGGTGTGCAAATATTTTAATGCAACAATAATTCAAGCATAATATTACAATCCAAACATGAACTTTTCTAATAAAATAGTTCAAATTTGAATTCAACTTATTTAGACATACTTTTTAGTTCTTCCTCGAAGTGCCCATATAAATGTTTAACCAGATCATTCTGAAATTGCTCATGAGTTGCTTAACGGTGAATTCATTGATGCATTTGGATAAAGTCTTTAAACGTCGCTAGATTCTGCTACGGAAGTTGGGATAGGATCACCCATCTGCTCAAAGTTTAGACCGTGGCGAACTCCGTCAGCCCCATCTTCCACCATCATATTGTGCATGATCACACAAGCTGTTATCATCTCCCACAACGCTATAGATCCTATATTTTGCAAATCTCAAACAACCGCAAAAAGGGCTTGGAGCACTCCAAATGCTCTCTCCATATAATTTCTAGCTCCTTGTCTTTGGGCAGAGTGAGCTTTTTTCTCACCGCTTGGCTTGGAGATACCATCACAAAGATAATATCTCATAGAGGAGCTTATCCTGGACACAACCTGGCAAACAATGGAGACCGCTGCATCATGTTGATGTCATTGTGTGATCCGAATATCCCAAAGAAAGAGTGTCAAATCTAGAGGTCTTGTGATGCAACTGTTTCAAGAATGATAGTGGGCTTCTTGCAATGGCCTTATATTATCCTTGTAGAGCATATGGGCAATTCTTCCATTTCCAGTGGATGCAGTTGAGGGATCCGGGCGTAGCTAGGCACCGTCTTGATTCCGACAATGCCATGAGACGTATGGTGCCTTGGATAACTGGTCCTCTTAAGTACTCCACTCCAAACACCTTGACCACTGCAGTAGCAAACCTGACCATGACTTCAAGATGTGTGGTTTTGAACATCTGGAGGTACTCATTCCACAATTCTACAACAATGCCATATGCAAGCATCCTCAATGCAGCTGTGCATTTTTGTTAACAAGACAATCCATTGTTTTCAAAAGCATCCTTCTTTAAGGTGAAGTAGTCATCATAGGCCCGAACACCATTGTAGAGGCGATGGAACGTAGTTTGGTTCATCCAACTGACAGCGGAAAAAGTACTCGAATAGCACATCAGGGACAAAGTAGCCGTTCATAAGCATCATATGCCTTCGTGCCCTTTTCTGATTCATAAGTTGAGGCCCTTTGATTGATCACTTGAAATTGAGAACATGCTCCTCTACATGTTGGGCATCTTCAATAACCGCATGAAACATCGCCGTCTCATCCTCATATTCTTTCTCATATGACAACACTAGAAAACAAATGTTTGTCTGTGGTGACCCACTTGTGTCATGTAAAATCATTTTTCGTCACGAAAATTGTACCAGTGATTGACCGTCACAGAAGTCCTATCACAAAAATGTGATCTTGGCGATACCACCTTTTTCCATCGCCTAATATTGTACCTTAGGTGACAGTCCTTGTTTTGTCACGGAAGTCCAGACCGTCACCTTATATCGGCCGATTTATGACCTAATATAGTTTGAGTGATGATAATTCGTTGCTACTTGTGAGCTGCGTTGGGATTCCCCCGAAGAGGAGAGGATGATGCAGTACAGTAGATATAAGTATTTCCCTCAGTTAAGAACCAAGATTATCAATCCAGTAGGTGAACCACGCAACACCTCGTTAGCAGCACCTACACACAAAATAACAAATACTTGCACCCAACACGAACAAGGGGTTGCCAATCCCTTACGGTTAATTGCAAGGATCAAATCTTGTATAGATAAATGCATAAATAAAATAAAGTAAATAAAATTGCAACAAGGTATTTTTGGGTTTTTTTATATATGATGAAAATAAACTCGGGGGCCATAGTTTTCAGTAGAGGCTTCTCTCTTGAAAATAACATACCGTGGGTAAACAAATTACCGTCGGGCAATTGATAGAAAAGCGAATAATCATGACAATATCTAAGGCAATGATCATGTTCGAGACAAGTAGACTGGCTCCTGCCTACATCTACTACTGTTACTCCACACATCAACCGCTATCCAGCATGCATCTAGAGTATTAAGTTCATAAAGAACGGAGTAACGCCGTAAGCAAGATGACATGATGTAGACAAAGTAAACTCACGCATGAATAAATCCCATCCTTTTATCCTTAATGGCAACGATACAAATACGTGTCATGTCCCCTTCTGTCACTAGGATTGAGCACCGCAAGATCGAACCCATCACAAAGCACCTCTCCCATTGTAATAAAAATCAATCTAGTTGGCCAAGCCAAATCAATAGATCGGGGAGAAATACAAAGATATAATAATCATGCATATAAGAGTTTAGAGAAGACTCAAATAATATTCATAGATAATCTGATCATAAACTCACAATTCATCGGATCCCAACAAACACACCGCAAAAAGTGATTACATTGAATAGATCTCTAAGAACATCAAGGAGAACATTGTATTGAAGATCAAAGAGAGAGAAGAATCCATCTAGCTACTAGCTATGGACCCGTAGGTCTGTGGTAAACTACCCAGACATCATCGGAAGGGCAACAAGCTTGATGTAGAGCCCCTCCATGGTTGAATCCCCCTCCGGCAGAGTGCCAGAAAAGGCCCCAGATGGGATCTCTCAAGAACAGAAACTTGCGGTGGTGGAAATAGGGTTTTGGCCAGCTCTTGTTTGTTTCCCAATTTTAGAGAATTTATAGAGGCGAAATTAGGTCAAATAGATGAACGTGGCCCCCACAACACACTAGGGCGCGCCCTGGTGCCTTGTGGGCTACTCCTCCATCTTCTGGTATCCTCCCGGACCTTCTAGGGTATCTTTTGCCAGAAAAAATGTCCAAAAAGTTTCGTGGCAATTGGACTTCGTTTGGTACTGATATTCTGGAAACCAAAAACAAGCAAAAAACAACATCTAGCACTTGGCACTAGGTTAATTGGTTAGTCCCAAAAAATGATATATATATAATTGCATATAAAAACATCCAAGATTGATACTATAATAGCATGGAACAATAAAAAATTATAGATACACTGGAGACCTGTGATCCGTCGCTAGCAATTGATGCTCTGGTTTGACCGGTCAATGTTGCTGACATATGGGCCTGGTAGATGCTAACTTCGTTACTTACACATAGGTCCAGATGGTGCTAACGTGTATTCTTGCATGTGGGTCTAGTAGCTGGTGACGACATTACTTTACGTCACAATTATCATCACATTTTATATATGGCGTCAATTTGCTTTATGTTGCCATTTGCAAACAAATTTGAATTTAGATTTGAAATTCAATAAAAATTTGTTTACCACTAGCTTTCTTTGCACTAGTGTAAAGAGGTAGGAGATTTTGAGCATCGATTGGAAAATACCTATGTTGGGGCATAAGATATGCTAATTGGATGTCATACAAGCTTTCCATACTAAGAGATGCGCATGTGGGAAGAAACGAAGCCGCTTCTGGTGAAAGGATCGATATAGTTGACTAGAGGGGGGGGGTGAATAGACAACTAACAATTTTTAGATTTTCTTTAACAATTTAAACTTTGCATCAAAGTAGGTTGTCTAGATATGCAACTAAGTGAGCAACCTATATGATGCAACAAAGATAAGTACACAAGCAAGCAAGAGATATATCACAAATAAGCTTGCACAAGTAAAGGCATGGGATAACCAAGAGTGGAGCCGGTGGAGACGAGGATGTGTTACCGAAGTTCCTTCCCTTTGAGGGGAAGTACGTCTCCGTTGGAGCGGTGTGGAGGCACAATGCTCCCTAGGAAGCCACTAGGGCCACCGTATTCTCCTCACGCCCTCACACAATGCGAGATGCCGTGATTCCACTATTGGTGCCCTTGGA